ATATAGCGATTTTATAGTATAAGATTATTATTTTGTGCGGAATGATATTGAAGGATTGTGGTATATGTTCTCTAAAATTACAGATATGAAGCTAAGAATTAGAATAAGGTAGTTAAATAGTGGTGTTTCTCGAAAATATATAGGGTGTATTTACTATAACATAAAAATCAATTGAGAAAGGGATGCCACAGATCATTTCACGAAAAAAGTTAATATTAACATATGCAAGCAATATAAACAAAGCAGAACACCTTGTATGAGAACATAATGGAACGCTACTGACTTGTCATAATATACCTTAATACTGTTACCAACACATTATTTTTACCAACACAAGTATTTTTATGAAGAATTACCACCTAATGTGGAAGTAAAAATATCTTTTCCGGTTTATGAACTACTAGATCCTACTTCCATAAAATGATCTGTAATGATGATTCGAACCTTTCTTTGGAAACATATTGGTATAGGTATATGAAAAAGCTGAACTAATAGGTATATTAGATTAACTTTTCAATTAATATACTGCCCTACAAGATATTTCAAAATATTAATACATACGAACAATGCCTTTTTAAAATTATTTTTCTGTTTTATAATATGTACAGCGTGAGTCAACGATAGAGTAAAGTCCATTATCTCACTTGTTTCGAGGTTTACAAAAAAAAATAAATATGAAAGTTATAGGGAAGGTTAAGATACACATTTTAAAATTATTATAAAGTATACAAGGTGCTTCAAAAAAGTGTGGCGGATATAACATATGTTCTTTTAAATGCAAGACCCTATTTTTTATTTTATTTTTAGATTCTGCACAAAATTCCATAACTTTTTTATATATAATGTTATATACTTAAAATTAATAGTTTTTGTAATATTTCAATTAGTTTAAACAAATGTTAAATTGCAGTGTGGTGGAAAATTGTCAGTGGTGCCATTGTTTCTAAAGTTGGAATACCAAAATTTGGTAGGAGACTTTTATAGAGATGAAATAAAAGATATATGTAAATACATTTTAGTTAAATGATACAGGGTGTTCAAAATATATTTATGAATTTCAACTACTTAAAAAATAAAAAATCTCAATTTTTAAATGGGACACCCTATATATTATAATTTTTTCTGATAGATTTTACAAAACTCTTCAATTTTTATTAAGTATGTCATATACCTATTTTTAATAGTTTGCGATTTATTGCAATTTTTTCTATTTTTACCCATATTTTTAATACAATTACGCTATAAAATCATAGTTACCATGACAAAACAAAACTATTTATTACTTATGTTTAACAAGTAGCTTAATAATTAGTTACAATTGTTAGCATTAGTTGATTTAATATTTTTAATAAACTTTACTCAAATAAACTAAAATCGCAGTTGTGAATTTCTTAGTGTATTTCTATATTATAAAAAATGACACTTGGATTTTCCGTCGGGGCGAATAGCCACAGATTAGGGTAATACTAGATTACCTAATTGTTGAAGAGTACTGATATAGAAATTTTCTTCTACTTACAGTAAAGTTTGTTTTTTTGTAGTAATTCTGGTTTATAATTCATTTCGTAAAGCCAATATTACTACTGCCGCAAAACCGTCCCATTACACACTGAAGATGCTTTCTAGATAATCTGCATCTATTCTTATAGTACTTAGCAAAATACCATATAATATAATATATAGTACTAAACCAAAAAAGATGTTTGTTCTTGTTTTTTTTTCATGTGTATCAGTCACATTGACTAATTAATTTCAGGAAAATCTGTAATTATTTCTACCATTTATACTTATTACGACAAATTAAACTAAAATTCAAATTTTGTTTTGGTTTGGTTGTTCTTAACTTGCTTAAAAGACATGAAATTTTGATAATTATTACTTTTTGTCATGGCAACTATGATATAGCGTAATTGTATTAAAGATACAGGTAAAAATAGAAAAAATTGGAATAAATCGCAAACTATTAAAAATAGGTATATGACATACTTAATAAGAGTTGAAGAGCTTTGCAAAATCTATCAGAAAAAATGAAAATATATAGGGTGTACCCTTTAAAAAAATTGAGATTTTTTAATTTTAAGTAGTTGAAATTCATAAATATATTTTGAACACCCTGTAGCATTTAACTAAAATATCTTTACATATATCTTATTTTTCATCTCTATAAAACTCTCATACTAAATTTTGGTATTCCAACTTCAGAAACAATGGTACCACTGGCAATTTTTTACCACACTGCAATTTAACTTTTGTTTAAATAAATTTAAATATTACAAAAACTATTGATTTTAGGTATATAATATTATATATATAAAAGTTATGGAATTTTACGCAGAATCTGAAAATAAAATAAAAAAGAGGGTATTGTATTTAAAAAAAACATGTTATATCCGCCACACTTTTTTGAAGCACCTTGTATACCCTATAATAATTTTAAAATGTGTATCTTAACCTTCCCTATAATATTTATATTTAACATTTTTTTGTAAACCTCGAAACAACTGAGATAATGGACTTTACTCTATCGTTGACTCACCCTGTACATATGAGTAATATATTTATTTCAGCTAATTAAATGTTACTACCGTTTCTCAAAAAATAAATAGATAAACCTTACGTACAACGAAGGTACCCAAGTACCCAGCATATACAAACTAAATATAAAGAAAAAATAAGACATAAACGTTAAAAAATATGACTTATGGTATCTGTAACTTGTTTTAATCAGTAGGAGGGCAGTATATTAAACAAGTTGTCAACTGATGCGTTGCTTATTTGATTAATTTTTGATGACGTCTATCTTTTTCACATCAAAAGCTAAAGTAGAAGACATGTTTAGAAAAATAAAAAATATATGTACAATAATTTTTACTTTTTTTACTTATATCAGTACGTTTGACAGATGTGTGCAAGTAGTCGAAGTTACGACTTGTCAATGATGACATACCTTTAGTAGAAAAAATAGGAGAATCATTTTTCCTATAGAGTACCATAGCGAGAGAAAGGTAAGAAGTACAGTATTAGCATTTTATTTTATCCCACTATTATTTTTGTATATACCTAGTTCAGTAAATAAAGGGTTTTTAGTTAAGTTTTATTGTGAAAAAAGAAAACCAGAAATGTCATACGTTGTCAAGTGTCACAGTTATTTATATAAGGTTTTATCGAAAAAATAACAGTTTTATCGAAATTTGATAAAATAATCTAGACCTATGTTGAAATGAAATCTGTCATTCCCTGAAATGCCTAGTCGTTTTGCGTATTGCTGGCAAAGAGCGCCTTTCTCCAATTGGTACATCGTTTGACTGTGGATCTCAGGCATTCCTTGTAATGAGGGAATTATTTCAGTGAAATGCCGTAAATTAATTTAATTTTCTTTAAAACATCTTTTTGACGTTTCGCCCTTAATACTGGAGCATCTTCAAAAGATGTTTATTATTTAAGGGTGAAACGTCAAGAAGATGTTTTAAAGAAAACTAAATTTTATTTAACGCACCTCAACCCAAGAACATATGACTTTTTTATAGTTAAAAATGGTTCAATAAAACTTATGCCAATATATTCAGTTTTGTTCCACTAAAAAATTCCGTTATTATAGGGATCGACTGAGATCTACAGGCAAACGATGTACCAATTGAACAGTTTGGTTTGGACGTATTCAATTGTTTTTTGTCACTTCCTGTTTCACCAGAAATTACTACAACTTTTGATTTTTAAATGGCACCCCTCGATATTTTTTACTTTATTCGATAGAAAATGACATTCTGAATAGAATGTCAGAATGTCATTTGTCAACTTTTGGCATTTTTGCTTAAAACAAAATTGTACTTTAAATTTCAATCCAGAGTGCCATGGATGTGTTCAAAACCCTAATTTTTTATCAACGAGCCTTGGAAAAATAGATTTGATCGTCTAAAGTTTTTACTCTCTTGTCCTGGCCGGTTAAAAGATGCTCAAATCATAAATTTGAGCTTGATTTTAATCATATCTCAATTTTTTCAATTGGAACGAGGGTGGCTCATTAGCATATTTGAAAAAAGGATTTTTACGAATAATTTGGTACCCCACATTTGGTATTTCGAGTCAAATTGTCGTTATGAATCGTATGTTGCAATTTCAAATAAACCATATTCAAAGATGTCAAAAGTTGACATATGATATGTCATTCTATTCAGAGTGTTATTTTCTATCGAATAAAGTAACACAATACTGAGGGTGCCATTTAAAAATCAAAAGTTGTAGTCATTTACGGTGAAACAGGAAGTGACTGAAAACAATTGAATACGCCAATCAATCCTAATTTATGTCATATACTAACATACCAAATCTCGTTATTTTATCTGAAAAAATAAAAAAGTTATAGTGGTGAGCCACTGTTGAGACGCACCCGGTATACCTACATACAATTTTTACATATTTTTAGCAAAGTTTTAAAACTATTAATAAAACGAACATGTATGATATATTCTTGAAATTAGAAAATACATTTTTAATATACAGGGTGTTCAATTAAAAAGAAATAGTTTCTACCAATAACCGTGACATTTGACAGCCTATAAAATTTTTGATAGTGAGTAATAAAGCTTGAATGAAAATTCTATAATTTTATTTTCTCACATGATGTACCTATATATCTGCTAAAAGTTCAAGCCAGTTAAATGCCGAAGAAAATAAAATGATAGCACTGTACAAAACATGTTCTAGTGATTCAAGAAATATATAAAAAAATCACTTCCATCAAAAATATTTTTTTCGATATTCTTAGTTATTGATAAATTGTGCAGATTTATTAATAGGCCCAGCTTATATTTCACTAGGTGCCTATAAATTGACGAGACAAAAATATTGAGCTAAAACGGATTTATTTTGATTTTTACAGTGATTTTTCAATATATATCTTGAACCCATAGGCATATTTGAGACCACGTAATATGTATATAATCGACATTTATTTCTGTTTATAATTTTTTTTCGTTAAAACATTATTTAAAAACGATCAGTTATCATATTTTTCCATACAGCTTTTAAAGAAAGCCGTATGTTTACAAAGTAATTACATAGACAGTAATGTTTAATAAATTAACTTTACTTCGTACTAAACCTCTGTTTTTGTTTTTTCACAAATTCGACAGCCATTCTGTCGTTTATCCTGGACTCGAGTATCTGTAGGATGGGATTATCTGCAATGCAAGAAAATATAAAGCAATGTTGTCTATTCTGGTAATGGTAAAACCATAGACTTAAAATAAAATATAGACTACACTATTTACATCTCAACGCGGTCAAACAATCTTTTTTGTACACATGTTTACTTCTGGGTACAGTCGACCGAGCCTTCCTCATCCAGCCTATGTTGTCACGTTTTTAATATTATCAATATTTTTTTTCTTGTTATACACATATATTGGGATATTAATACTACAGTTTAATAAAGTAGGTTTTAATATTCCATAGATGTATTAAATAGTCCTTATACTACTAAATTATAAGTCGGATACTGTTTAAAAAGGATAAGTTCTTTACAATATGACAACACCGATTAGAGGCGAGGGAGCCTATTCATTCATTTATTACCTTGTAGTACGCGTCGCACGTGTGTGGTAAAGCTTTGTTGCCGCTGTGTCCCCGGCTGTATTAACGCATTTTCTTAGCTTGTAGTCCTTAAGTGTTTATTTTATTGACTTTTTCTGTTGAAGAACTATAAAATATGGTTTGGCAGTGCCAAATTTGCAAGAAATTTGACTTAAATAATCCATTTAAGTCTTGAAACGACTTCCGACCGGTAGGCAACTCTCAATTTACCCATTGGGAGTCAGTGGCGTTGTTGTACAAAGGCGCTTATTTAGATAATATTTTAGTAAAATGTAAAATCTGAATTTTTTCTCTTACATTACATTATTTACTTACTTACATTGTAACAAAATCATAATTATAACCCTGTTAATAATTAATAATGTTTTTTTTTAAATATATTCCGGTTTATTCTAAAATTATCTCCAGAATCTAAAATAACATACAAGAATTTTAAAATGATATTACATTATGAAACAATATTTTTTAATATACCGAGTCGTCTCAAAAGTGGCTCACCCCCTATAACTTTTTTATTTTTTCAGATAAACAGATTTGTACGTTAGTAGGTATATGACATAAACTAGGATTTATTGACGTATTCAATTGTTTTTGGTCTCTTCCTGTTTCACCGAAATGATGACATCTTTTGATTTTTAAAGGCACCCTCGGTATATTGCTACTTTATTCGATAAAAAATGATACTCTGAATAGAATGACATATCATATGTCAACTTTTGACATTGTCGCTTAAAAACAAATCGTATTTTAAATTTCAATCCAGGGTGCCATGGTGTTGTTAAAAACACTAAGTTTTAATCAAGGAGCCTTGGAAAAATAGTTTTGATCGTCTAATGGGTTTCGTGTCTTGTCTAGGCCGGTTAAAAGATGTACAAATCGTATTTTTAATCATACATATGTCAATTTTTTCAAATGGAGCAAGGGTGACTCATTAGCATATTTCGCAAAAGCATTTTTTTATGAATATATTAATACCACACACTTGGTATTTCGAGTCAAATTGTCGTTATGAACCGCGTGTTACAATTACAATTAAACCATATGCGAAAATGTCAAAAGTTGACATATGATATGTCATTCTATTCAGAGTGTCATTTTCTATCGAATAAAGTAGAAATATACCGAGGGTGCCGTTTAAAAATTAAAAGTTATAGTCATTTCCGGTGAAACAGGAAGTGACCAAAAACAATTGAATGCGTCAATCAATCCTAATTTATGTCATATACTAACATACTAAATATTGTTTTTTTTTATTTGAAAATATAAAAAAAATATGGGGGATGGGCCACTTTTGGGACGCACCCGGTATAATAAAGACGGTACCAAGTTAAATAAATGTAGTTTTCATTTTCTCCACTTCCTATCACCTTCCTTGCTTTAATGGAACAGATTTATGTTTTCTCTAATTTACATAATAAGACATCACTTAATCGGAAAAAAAATACATCAATCATATATTTTTTTCTCTCCCTGTCGTCGATTCTATTATATCTGTGGAATAGATCCTGTTTTGATTAATATTAGGGGTTGTAAATGTTTGACTAAAATTAATAATTTATTATTAATTTCAAAAATTACGTAATTTCGATTATAAAATTTCTTCTATAACGTGTATTTTATTATTTTTATCCTTTTTGGACTCTAAGACGTTTTTTTCTAAACTTTTATTTAAAAAACCTGTCCTAAATCTTAATAAAATATAAAAAAGTTTAAATACGATATATTTTTAATTTAATTATAGCTTCATTAAAATAAAAAAATTACCCGGCTATAATACGGAGAGTTCAGGTGTACTTGAGAAACGAAAGACAGTGTTGTGTTTCTCGGCAGAGTCGTCAGGGAACGACCGTTACGACAGAGACAACCTATCTATCGCTCGTGTCGCACTCGTTATAACCTAAAACAATAACACAACAATAACAAGACATTGTCTGACCGCATGTTCCAGCTATTTATGAATGAGATGCTCCGTCTATATTTTATTTTAAGTCTATGGGTAAAACAATTTCCGATGCACGTGATCAATGATCAACTTTGAGAGCGAGACAATACGAGACAACAAACGAGACAAGCGATGGCGACAGCGCAGCCAGATTGTGATGGATTTATGAGATGAATCTTAATTTAAAATTGACAAACAACATATTTATTATATCATTTTTGAAAGAGTTTTACGTTTTATTTTTAATTTAATAACTAATATTTTAGTGATTAATTGATTTATTTGTATTATAGCTTATTTTACTTATTACATATTGGCAAAAGCTGGTCCATTATGAAGATTATTAGAAGCGTTAAGTATTATGGGTTATTTACTTATTGATGTACATCTTACAACGCCATAAGTGGTAATAACAAGTAAGAGGGTGCTATTAATGCACAAACTAATAATCACAGAATTTAATAAAAACTAACTTTGAAAGTGGTATAAGGTTCTAGGTATAAGTCAAGGGTGTTAAAGGACCTTTATAGTCTAAAATAGTTTAAAAAAACAGGGAAGCTACAAGCTCTTTGCTTCGGCGTATTTTCAACACACAAATTTCAAGAAATGCAATACAAAAACTCGAAAATTTAGTTCTTAAAATAACTGTTTGTGCTTAAAAGTGCAATTTAAACCTATGAAAATAGGCAAAAAAACGAAAATTACTCACAAAGATTCAACAACAACACGATATTTTTTCAAAATAATGACTGACACTAGGATAATTGTCAAATAATAAAGGACAACATTGCTGAACACGGCGCAATGTGACCAACATAGCGATAATAAAATTCGGTTTAAACTAATTTTTGCAGCTTTAATCTAAATAAAATACCTATCTGTTACAATCATTTGCTCTATAAAGTAAAATGAAGAGCTGCTCGGTATCATAAATTATACAACAAATTTAAACAATTTCGCCAAAATTTCATTTAGTCAGGTTAATAAACATTAGTGTCAATGTCGATATGATTGATGACGTGCATCGGAAAATGTTTTGCGATTACAGTATTATTAGAGCTTGTTCGTGTTCTCAAAGCGGTGAGTCATGGTGTATTTTACTCACTTTTGTTATGCTGCTGCATGAGTGTGAGCTCTACGGGTTTCAGCCCGTGGAAATTGTCAACTGATGCATTATCAACAACTCCAGAAATGGTGCCTAACGCGAGAAAAGCTTCTCCGGCAAAGTCATTAGCTGTGAGAACGTCGTGGTCCATGACAGTGAAGGCAACCATAGCTCCCGGTGCCCTAATTTTTGTTTTACAGTTATATAGTAATACCATAGTAGAAGGAAAAGAGTAGTTGCACTCTCCCAAATATTTTCTGCCAGTTTTTACAGTCTGTCGAATATCGGCAGATTGCAGAGCGTTTCAGTTGAGTTCCGTCCGTCGACCTGCGAGGTTCGAGCGTTGCGTCCCAGCACAGAGACGGATTGACAAAAAATGAGTGCCTTACTGTGTGCTGCTATTGGTTGTAGTAATAATTCAAAAAATTGTGCTCTGAGTTTTTTTTCAGGTTAATTTTCTCGTGACTGATTCAATACTTAATAATTTGATATTATTTTCATTTAAACCTCAATTTTTTTATCGATTTTACTTCTGACAACCATCCCTTACTTGCTGTTTAACGAACTGCACTATCATTGAACAAAAATTTGCTAGTACGGAAACGCTTTAACGTACCATGACTGTGAATATTTTTTAGGGGTAATATATTTTGGCCCAGAAATATGAGGATTTTTCTGCGCAATTTATTTTTCAAAAAAAAACTGGATTTTTTTTTAGTTTTTAGTTAAAAAACCTAATTTCTTGATAATATGGTAACTAGGGTTCAGAGCCGGAAATTCCCGGTTCTTTTGAGATATCAAAGAACCGGAACCCGAAATTATTAATTCCCGGTTCTTTCGGTACCTGCGGGCTTCGGGACTCGGTAACAATAACTAAAAAGTTATTCTTTTGTTACGTGAGAAAGTAGTGATGCTATTTCTCAATGTTCTTGCTTCTTTTCTCCTTTGAAATTTCTGTAATATTTATTAGCAATAATTATTGAAGTTTAAATATATTATTATATTATTTAGTACAATGTGTTGTTCAATGTATTAGTTATCCAATGAAAATCACCTAACCAATATATTACTACAAAACAAGTATATTAATGTTAAAATTAAACTTGTTTTAAATTTAAAAAAAAGTTGTAGAAAATCTTTAAAATAGGTAATAATATAAAAATATGTCATTATATTTTTTTCTGCATTTTTTCCCATCAGAAGATTTTCAGATACAGAAGAATTGTTAATTACACGAAATGTGAAAATATTCTCTTTTCAAGCAAATTTTTACTCGATGATCAATTTTTTTTATTTTATTTTATTGTGAACTCATATTTTCCTAAATACATCTCTGTGAAACTATGGCGAGTGCCACGACTATACTTTGCCTAGTGATAGACCGCGACTATACAGCTACGTCAGTGGTCACGGTACGCGAAAACAAGATCATATAAAGTGGCAGAAAAAGAACAAAGGATTTGACAAGGAGTAAAGCTACTAGTTTCCTTATACTATGGTACCTAATACTAGTAAATGGAGAAATAGGTAGATATTTTGCTGAGAAATATTGATCAGAATAATACATTTCCAGTTTTAATATATTTGGATAATTATAATCTGACTTACTTGCATTGTTCTAATGATACGCTGAACTCAAAACATTCGTCGAAAATTGGGTGTAGCGTCTTTTTGTGCACGTTGGTCTGTTGTTCGTTACAATGAGGAAACACTCGTTTGGGCAATAACTCTATGATTACAAAGGGATCGCTAAATCCGTTAGGGTCTAAAGGAATTACGTCTCTAGCATGTAAAACCTAGAAAAAACAGAGCTATATAATTACCTACATGAAACGTTTATATGAATTATCAAATAACTAAAATATTAACCAGTTCACACTTGATAACGGTCAGTGATACTTCTGACCGAAACATTGTGTAAGCAAAATAAATAAAGATAATGGAAGTCAGACATTCTTTTAGTTTTAATATTGTACTGCTATTTGAAGCAAAGCCTACCAGACAACTCTACTGAGCTGTCTTAACAACGAACCATTAATCCCGTAATATTACGATTTAAACCCGACAAAATACAGAAAGTTTTGAAAATTGGTAGGTATGTTGGAGATAGCATGAGGATTACTAAACCGAAAAGTTCCCACCCCTAAATAGTGTGCGTCATCCCCCAGGACATGGTTTCTACCCCCGTTTTGAGTTTTTTAGATACTCTCGGCAACGGTGCAATTCTCGACAAAAATACCTATATAGAAGATTGTTCTTCATAAAATTCTCTATCAAAAAGATAATTACACTTTTTTTCTAAAGTTAATAATAAAGTGGCAAATAGGGTGCAAATATACGGGTTGGTTATGACTAGCACTATCTGCAGTTCAATCTAATTTAAAGTTTAATGTTTAACGCTAACAAAAAGCAGTAACCACTAAATTATACTTAAAATTTTAATATACGTTCTTCTCTCACACTCCTCTACTCCTATAAAAAGGGTGATTTGTACTTATTTCCAGTTTACTTATTCTAGTAAAGTACTAGATGCGTTTTTTTTAAAGTGTTATCTCCTGTAGGCCTAATCCACTAATTATCAAATGTTAAAGATGGGATTTAATTTAAAAGTTTCAAAATGCGTCGTGCAAATCATGTAAAGCCGATATCTAGTTTGGGCAATACAATGAAAATTAATGGCAATGATGTTCAAGTTGATTCAACATTACTATTACAAAGAATTATTTGCACCGTTCATTCTAGCCTGGAGTTAAAAAAGTGTTTTAGTTTCGAATTAGCTTCAGTACCTCTTTCTTTTTTAGATGCGAAAGGCCTAATGAGGAAAACAGCAGCTTTATACCAGATTGTCAATAAAGTTCCAGAACGAGACCATATTTTTGAAAACAGCGAGTATGTCATTGATGGAGGATATTTGCTTCGCCGCGTAATATGGCCAAAAAAGAGACATTTAACATTGTTTACAACGCATACGTTAGGTAAATTAAAAAACATTATGGGAATAGAGTAACTGTCGTGTTCGATGGTTATATGGAAAATGCAAACAGCACGAACAGCCTGAACGACAGAGGCGGCTACTTCAAAGAAGCTGTCTTCAAATTATGTGTGACGAGAATGCTGTTGTCTCAGCAGAACTTCCTAAGTAATTTGTTTAACAAAGAACGTTTAATCACAGAACTAGTAAACAAATTTAGGAAAGAAGGTATAGAAGTATTTGTTGCTGCGGATGACGTTGATTTATTAATAATTGAAACTGCTATAGAAAAATCTAATAATTGCGATAAAACTGTTATAGTAGGGCAAGATATTGACCTGCTAGTTCTTCTTATTGTACTTTCTCCCTCTGACAAAGATATCAAATTTTTAAAAGAAAAACAGGGTAATACTTGCAAAAGGATTTACAGTTCTCAAGATTTACAATCCGCAACTTCAAATCATGTACCTATTCGCGAAAAGAAGTGATTTACAACATATGGTACAAACTTTCAATAATGAGAAATCTACTATTACAGTTGAGGGTTGGAACCTTTGGTGTTACACAGCAAAATAAAAACACTAAATCACCACAATACACCAAAACACTTTTACTTTTACACTGGACGCGCGTTTCGCTAACCATGTTAGCATCATCAGCAGATGATTATAAACTAAAGTACAATCTACAAGTTGAGCGTTTATATACTCGCTCAGTGGGCCCCGAGTGGGCGTGGCAAAATCTAGCCAACCGAGTCAGAGCCAACTGAGCGTAACAGTTAGATTTCCGCCACTAGGGTAGTAGGAACAAAGAACTTGAAGGAATTGGACCGTTGACTCTGTTTATACTATCTTTACATTTATTAATTCTGATGCTTTCATATGCATCTAATTGTCTGTAATTTGAGACTTGTTTAATTAATTTTAAATTATTAAGATCTATACAATGTTCATTATCAACAATATGTTCGGCAACGCAAGATTTATCCGGTCTACCATATCTTATCTGAGCTAAATGTTCTTTAAATCTAGTTAATATTGATCTTCTAGTTTGCTCAACATATTTCTGATTACAATCTTACAAGAAATTTCATAAATACCCGACCTTTCCAGTGGAGGTGTTTTATCCTTTGTATTGCCTAATAATTGTTGTAATTTATTATTAGCACTATACACAAGTTTATAATTGACATTCTTAAAAATTACTTTTAGACCACAGGATAACTCTCTATCAAACGGTATCGAAAAATATTTAGACGTATCTTCCTCCACTTGAAAAGTCGAATTTTCAGGAAATCATTAAGCTATACCTACGTTTTCTAATTAATTTATCAACTAGTGAAGGAGAATATCCATTACACTCAGCTACATTCCTAATGTAATCTCTTTCTATTTCATTTCTTTCGTTGGAAAGTGGGAAACTAAGTAATCTATGAACTAAGAAATTTAAACTAGCCATTTTATGTTCAACACTATGATGTGATTCATTAGGAATATATCAGCGTGTGGTATTTTTCCTATAGATATCAAATTCCACGCAATTATTAGTATTTCTAATAACTAATACATCTAGAAATGGTAATCTGTCGTTGTTCTCAATTTCATGCGTAAATTTAATGGAAGGAAAACGATTATTTAACTTAGAAATAAAATTATCTATGGTGTCTCAATGTGTGTCAAAAACAACAAAAATATCATCCACATACCTAACCCATACTCTTGGAAAATACTTAAACTGATTCTTAGCTTCCACTTCAAACCTGCTCATGAATAAATTAGCCAAAAATGGAGACAATGGATTACCCATTGCTGTACCTTCCCGCTGTTCAAAAAAGTTGTTATTAAATTGAAAACAGTTTTGTTTCATACATAACGATGTAAGCTCAATATATTCAATCACAGTTTTGTTGTCGAGACCATTTGCGTTCAGTAATTCCTTCAAATAGCCTAAAGTATGTGGAATTGGAGCACTTGGGAACAACGAAGATACATCAAAGGAGACCAAAATTTCACCTTCATGCAATGTTATATCTTTAATTTTGTTAATGAATTCAATATTATTTCTAACTGAGAAAGAAGGTTCATGATCAGGTAAATTTTCAAACTCACTTGATAACCATTTTGCCAAATTATAAGTCGGAGAACCTACAGCCGAAACAATTGGGCGCATTGACTTGTCCGGTTTATGAATTTTTGGCAAAGCATACAATTTTGGTAATGAGGGATTCGATACTTGCAATTTCCTCTTTAAAGAAAGATCAATAAGGGTGTTACATTCTTTTAGAGTTTTTTTAACGTCTGCTACCATCTTAGACAAGGGATTCTTTTTCAAATTTATGTAGGGGCCATTATCGATTAAGAATTATCGATGAAGAAATCTACTCATGAAGAAATTGCAAACGTAGGATCGCAATTTATTTTAGCTTTATACAACTGTACCTCAGCAGAAAGCAATCTAGATGAATACCGATTTATGTACTTCAACAAACTTGTTTGTAAAGCCAACAACATTGTCATGTTGTCAAAACTAGCACCAACTTCTGCTGCAGCTCGGCAACACTCGCATCGGGTTTTTCACCAAATTTAAACATGGAGAGGAGTTATGCTCGAACCTACCGACTGGGGGTGGAAAAAAGTTGGCGGTATCCCACCCCAACAATGACAAACAAAGAGCCAGCCCCGGCATCTGTTTTAACGCTTATTTCATGTTCATGCAAATTAGGGTCCGAATACAGATGTAGCTGCAGAAGAGCAGGCTTGCGTTGCGTGTTATCATTGCTATGGACACTCATGCTTGAATGTTGAACCTGTGGAAGATGACAAAGATTACTAGATAAGATTTGATAATTAGTGGATTGTGCCTACAGGGGATACTTAAAAAAACGCATCAAATACTTTACCTCTAGGGTGATGCGGAAATAAGTACAAATCACCCTTTTTATAGGGGTAGAGGAGTGTGAGAGAAGAACGTATATTAAAATTCTAAGTATAATTTAGTGGTTACTGCTTTTTGTTAGCGTTAAACATTAAACTTTAAATTAGATTGAACTGCAGATAGTGCTAGTCATAACCAACCCTTATATTTGCGCCCTATTTGCCACTTTATTATTAACTTTAGAAAAAAAGTGTAATTATCTTTTTGATGGAGAATTTTATGAAGAATAATTTTCTATATAGGTATTTTTGTCGAGAATGGGCTCTTTCACTATATTTTGGAATTAGCACAATTGAATAAAGCAATTAATTCTAGAATTTTCTGCTATCTAACTTTCGAAAAATTTGAAGTCGTTCTTATGAAAATAAATAAAAACAAAAAAGCCCAGAATAAAAACCCGCACTTTATTTTTATTTAATACGTCACACCTGGCATGTTGAAAAGCGGCAACACGGCCGGGCCACCAGCCATCATGCTGACCCACCACCATCTCCACACAAGGCAATTCAACCTTTTATAATATGGCGGAGATAGAAGTGCTTTATTTGGCGCGTATTTTAAAACCTGTTTTATTTCCAAATAGACATTTTTCACACAAATGTCGGGTTAGATTACATAATATTTCACTAATTTTTTAATATACAGGGAGTCTAAAGCTCTCTACATAAGTATGGAGTTTTTTTGTATTATTACTTTTATGAAAACATCAGTTAGTTACTTTTTATAAAAAGGTCTGCTTTCTCAGAAAATAGGTAGGTAATGTAGTAGTGTGTAAATATTCAAACTTGAGGTAGCATATATAGGGTGTTCAAAATCATCGGAAAAAGAAATAACCAGAAATATATGACAGAAAATAGCAATATAAACTAAATATTCAATTGCAGACACTTACCTACCATAGTTTAGAATTTACTGTACGTTTGATAAATATAACTATTATGGACAGTGTAGGAAGTTACTTGTCTTAGTAAAAGCCTTGGTAAATGCTCTTGGTGTAAACTACACTGACTTGGGTCAACAAATATGGAATATTTTTCCTATGTTTTGTTATTGCAGCATTAGACAAATGGGAATAAATTTAAACTATAATAGGTGAGCATAACTAAAAAATATAATATGTGTATCAAGATTTTATATAGAAAAAAAACTAAATACCTTTTTATAACGTCATTCCTTTTTTTTCCATAGTTCTTCAATAAAATATTGGATATTCTAAACAAGATGACTAAAAAAAGACTTACATCCAGGCCATTTATATTTTCAAATGTGAATGTTGTCAATATCTTGTGAGGTAAGTGTAAGCAATAGCCATAACTACATCCTCACTAGGGTAACAGAGGCTTTGGCCTTTAGCCTTTGGCCTTTTTGAGGCATATTTAATGCACTTCTTACCTAAGAACTACTAGTAGGAGTGAAATTATCTCTTTTAATAGCTGTCAACCATTTTGTACGAAGCTCGTCATTTTTGGGGAATATAAAAGCAGAAACCTTGGGACCCCCTCTATAATTCTCGTGACAATTTGTAACAGAGCATGTAAAAGGTATGCTACAATAAAATGTTAATACCTACCCTTTAATACCTATCTTTTGATTATTCTAAGTAACCATTATAAAGTACTATGCAGACTGGCGGTGAAGGCTTTTTACTCATTTAGGTGTAATATCTTGATAAATACTTCTAGTTCTTACCTTAAAATAATTAATAATAGAGCAGTACGACAAACACAAAAATTTGAAGTTCCCTATGTGGAATGTCTGGTTTGGATTTTTATTACACTGTTATTTTATCACAATTCTCTGATCACACCATGCACTGAACACTAAGAACTAAACAAACGTGTTGCAGAAGCACAACAAACTAGAGATAATTAATTATTTCTGGTATGCAATCGGAACGAAAAACCACTACCGGCTTTTCAGTTTAAAGGTAAACAATTTAATAATGCGCTGCTTTCGCCGCCATATTTGCCTTGCCCATATCATGTTGATTGGCCTTGAGTTGAGGTGGTGCTAGTCAAATCAAATCGCAATGTTGCCAGTTGGTGGCTGGCGCACGAGCACGGTTCTGCAATATGATTTGGCGTATTTTTCATACGTCATCAATTGGCGCTTTAAAATTATTTCAAATTAAAGCAATTTTGAGGGCCTATAAAAATTATTCAATGTCATGGAACTAATTTTTTTGGATAAATATACTGAAATAGTCTTCTATTTCAGATTTTGTCCTTGAATTGGGTATTTTATTTTTTGTGAAAGAGCCCATTGCACCGTTGCCGAGATTATCTAAAAAAAACTCAAACTGGGGGTAGAAACGATGTCCTGGGGGATGACGCACACTAATTAGGGGTGGGAACTTTTCGGTTTAGTAATCCTCATGCTATCCCCAACATACCTACCAATTTTCAAAACTTTCTGAATTTTGTCGGGTTTATATCGTAATATTACTGGATTAGTTATAGTGATACACCCCCAAATATTTGAATCGCCAAAATATTTTTGAATCATTCTTACCTCAACACATAACGAATCATGATTGAAATATGCTCTAACTGCTAAGCTTCCGTATTGAGTCGCCGTTGTGCTATACTGATCGTGCAGTCTTTGACTGTAGAAAATCTCTATCAGTTTCTCCGTGTCCGTCCTGTGGTACTGCAGTCTCTGTTCTATTTGACAGAACGTAGGTGAGTGAAGCAGTTCAGTGCTGAGTCCTTGTCCTTCTGCGTGGAAGAAGTCGATCATGAGCTCCAAAGCGGAATGGAGCCTTTCATGGAACATTGCTGGCAAGTCTTCGCTGGTAGCTCCACCGTCCATTTGGTGGTTTAGTTCTGCTAGAGTGTATTCCCATACCTTTAATATAACAAATTTTATAGAGAATATCAATAAGTTAGTGGTGTACGTCATCAAGGACGTAGAAACTATTACTAAATTAAATTTCTAATAAATAAATATTCGTTTGAAACTTAGAGAGCGCACTTTTTCTTTTTTTCGATAATCTTATATACAATTAAAAAGTGACAGCTCACACGAAGTAAACGAATGAACCGATATAAAAGCTTTATGTTGATAGTCATGGCAAATATTTCCAAATATTCCAGTATATTATTATTTCTTTTATATATTTCTTTGAAGATGTGTAATTTGTCATTTTCTGTTTTATTATTTTTTTCTAATCTGACATTTTTATTTTCAACTCTATTCCGAGTTTTCTTTGACAAATTTGAAATTAAATCTGCGTTTTGTTTAGTTAAAACTGCGATGTTCATTGCAATAAAACATTGCATTAAATAGTCAGAATCGGCAACTTATACTACTTAATTTCTCAATTATTTTGAACAGGAAAGACATAATGGCGAGCCTCTTTTGCCGTTAAACTGCGTTAGAAATGTGCGATTTTATTGAAAAAACATAGATCTTTCAGCGTGTTTAAGCTGTACTCAATATCAGTTTAAGGACTGCGAGTGGAATCTCAAAAAAAGTGAAAACTAATAACCAATTAGAACTTTACATTTTTCTGCTTCCAAATACAAAACTTATAATAATAACTTAATTATTGCTAATAACCTAAAAAAAATTTGGGGTAACGTCAACGATTTCTTGTAGACGTATCTGTTTTAAAAAAAGTCAAGTGTTCTCGAATAGTTGAATTAAAATATTTTAAATTGTTTTTTCTTTATACTTTGTATTTTTTTTGCTTCCGACGACGGAAAGAAATAAACTTTCCGAAACGTTAAGCATTTTTTTCCGTGCTAGGCAAATTTTTATTACTGTAAACATAACTTCTGACAAGCAGTGTCCATTTAGTTTTAACCATAGACTTAAAATAAAATATAGACTGAGCATCTCATTCATAAATAGCTGGAACATGCGGTCAGACACTGTCTTGTTATTGTTGTGTTATTGTTTTAGGTTATAACGAGTGCGACACGAGCGATAGATAGGTTGTCTCTGTCGTAACGGTCGTTCCCTGACGACTCTGCCGAGAAACAAACACTGTCTTTCGTTTCTCAAGTACACCTGAACTCTCCGTATCATAGCCGGGTAATTTTTTTATTTTAATGAAGCTATAAGTAAATTAAAAATATATCGTATTTAAACGTTTTTATATTTTATTAAGATTTAGGACAGGTTTTTTACATAAAAGTTTAGAAAAAACGTCTTAGAGTCCGAAAAGGATAAACATAATAAAATACACGTTATAGAAGAAATTTTATAATCGAAATTACGTAATTTTTGAAATTAATAATAAATTATTAATTTTAGTCAAACATTTACAACCCCTAATATTAATCAAAACCGGATCTATTCCACAGATATAATAGAATCGGCGACAGGGAGAGAAAAAAAAATGATTGTTGTAATTTTTTTTCTAGTTAAGTGATGTCTTATTATGTAAATTAGAGAAAACATAAATCTGTTCCATTAAAGCAAGGAAGGTGATAGGAAGTGGATAAAATAAAAACTACATTTATTTAACTCGGTACTGTCTTTATTATACCGGGTGCGGCTCAAAAGTGGCTCATCCCCATAATTTTTTTATATTTTCAAATAAAAAAACAAGATTTAGTATGTTAGTATATGAAATAAATTAGGATTGATTGACGCATTCAATTGTTTTTGGTCACTTCCTGTGTCACCGGAAATGACTATAACTTTTAATTTTTAAACGGCACCCTCGGTATATTTCTACTTTATTCGATAGAAAATGACACTCTGAATAGAATGAAATATCATATGTCAACTTTTGACATTTTCGCATATGGTTTAATTGTAATTGTAACACGCGGTTCATAACGACAATTTGACTCGAAATACCAAGTGTGTGGTATCAATATATTCATAAAAAAAATGCTTTTTCCAAATATGCTAATGAGTCACCCTTGTTCCATTTGAAAAAATTGACATATGTATGATTAAAAATACGATTTGTACATCTTTTAACCGACCTAGACAAGACACGAAACCTATTAGACCATCAAAACTATTTTTCCAAGGCTCCTTGATTAAAACTTAGTGGATTGAAAAAAACTGGATTGAAATTTAAAATAGGATATGTTTTTAAGCGACAATGTCAAAAGTTGACATATGATATGTCATTCTATTCAGAGTGTCATTTTTTATCGAATAAAGTAGCAATATACCGAGGGTGCCTTTAAAAATCAAAAGATGTAATCATTTCGGTGAAACAGGAAGAGACCAAAACAATTGAATACGTCAATAAATCCTAATTTATGTCATATACCTACTAACATACAAATCTGTTTTTATCTGAAAAAATAAAAAGTTATAGGGTTGAGCCACTTTTTGAGACGACCCGTATATTAAAAAATATTGTTTCATAATGTAATATCATTTTAAAATTCTTGTATGTTATTTTAGATTCTGAAGATAATTTTAGAATAAACCGGAATATATTTTTAATAAAAACATTATTTATTATTAACAGGGTTATAATTATGATTTTGTTACAATGTAAGTAAGTAAATAATGTAATGTAAGAGAAAAAAATCAGATTTTACATTTTACTAAAATATTATCTAAATAAGCGCCTTTCTACAACAACGCCACTGACTCCCAATGGGTAAATTGAGAGTTGCCTACCGGTCAAAAGTCGTTTCAAGACTTAAATGGATTATTAAAGTCAAATTTCTTGCAAATTTGGCACTGGCGAACCATATTTTATAGTTTTTGAACAGAAAAAGTCAATAAAATAAACAATTAAGGACTACAAGCTAAGAAAATGCGTTAATACAGCCGCGGAGATAGCGGCAACAAAGCTTTACCGCACACGTGCGACACGTACTACAAGGTAATAAATGAATGAATAGGCTCCCTCGCCTCTAATCGGTGTTGTCATATTGTAAAGAACTTATCCTTATTAAACAGTATCCGACTTATAATTTAGTAGTATAAGGACTATTTAATACATCTATGGAATATTAAAACCTACTTTATTAAACTGTAGTATTAATATCTCAATATATGTGTATAACAAGAAAAAAAATATTGATAATATTAAAGACGTGACAACATAGGCTGGATGAGGAAGGCTCGGTCGACTGTACCCAGAAGTAAACATGTGTACAAAAAAGGTTGTTTGTCGGCGTTGAGATGTAAATAGTGTAGTCTATATTTTATTTTAAGTCTATGGTTTTAACGCAGAATTGTTTATGAAAAATAACTACCTATTTTATTTTGTAGATTTTTCTTGCAGTGCAGTGGCGAAATACCCATAAAGGATTTTTTTGGAGAGACTTATAATTGTGTTCAAGGATTCAAAAATTAAATAAAATACCGTGTGTTTAAGATACCGTGTGATAAGAAAAAATATAACTTTGATGCGGATCTTAGTTCGGATATAACAAAATAATTTTAAATTATGCACTTTGCCTTCCCACATATACCCATAAAATATTTTGTTTCAACATTTTTCCGCTTTCGTATAATCAACCGAGGCGTATGAGGTGCGCCATCCTGTATTGTATTCGTATGGCAATAGTTGTTAAAAATCATAATACATTCTCATATTTTATATAAATTTTGGAAAAAATTATTTCTTTATTTTATTGAGTAATATTGAGAAAACCTTACCTCACAGAGTACTTTTTGAAAATTTTGCGGGAGTAAGGCCACATTCAGCACTTTCAGGTGCGTGTGTAGGTAGTCGAATAGAGGATCCACGGCCTGTGGTGTTGGTAGAGTATCTGGGGACCAGGCGACGTGGAACATGGCTTTTCTCAAAGCCTCTTGCATTTGAGGGCCTACTCTCTTTAATATGTCAGTTATTCTAACCTAGAAAAATGTGGAAGAAAGGTGTTACGTTTTCTGATTCATATTTTAGCTTCTATCGTTTTTTTTAAATGTTCTGTCGACAATATAGCATATTTTAAAAATATGTTTGTGTATTCGTAATTTTTCATTTTAGAGAGTTTTCTTCAGGTATTTTTTATAATAATAACGTTTTTAAGTTACATTTACAAGTTTATTGTTTACCGAGTGATTATTGAAATATAATCAACTTTAAATAAACTTTTCATTACATTTAAATTACTTTCAATATTATAAAACCACACATCATTGACGCTAAACTGAGAGTACTATTCAGAGTTACAAGGGGCTCACAGAAAACTTAAGTCTTTCTTGATTTAAATCATTTTGATGACAAATCATTTGATTTTAAGTCACATTTCGACTTTAAGACTTTAAATTAAACTACTAAAAGACTTTAAATCGATTGATTTAGGTCTTTATTCCGAAACAGAAAAAGATTTAAGTCATTAAAAAAAGATTTAAGTCTTTTTAGAAAAAAATTAAGTCATTAAAAACGATTTAAATCTTTTTTTAATGACTTAAGTCATTTTACAAAAGATTTAAATCTTTTATGAGATTTAAGTCTATTTAGAAAAGATTTAAATTTTATTTTTTTGCATATATTTTTATCATAAATTTTTAACAGCGGCATCAAATACGTGTTCATCATGTTTAGTTTCATAAAAAAGTAGCAACTGTGAAAACCCTATCTTTGTACCGCTGCTCATAAACGAGAAACACTGTAAAACACAAAAATGGGACAACCTGTACAAAGTACCACGAAATTTAATTTTATTTAAGTTGTTGATGTTTTTATATGTGTGTTTTTATGTCCTTGGTGCATTTATTTTTTATTGTTTATTATAGTATTTATCTGTATCTACAGTAAATTAATATACAGGGTTGTTCACCACATACGACACGGAGTATTGTAGCTAAACGATGAGATTTTTACAAATTGTAAGTTTTGGGTTCGATGAAGGACTATTAGAGGTATAATTTAAAAATAATTTTACAAGATACAGAGTGTCCCAAATAAGTAAAAAATATCAAAGTTGTATTTTTTTAAACGGAACACCCTGTATATTATTACATTTTTAGTTTCTACGATTAAAATAAAGGTAAATTTGATTAAGATTTATTATACTTAAACCTTACCGTTTTTGAAATATTTTCAATTTTGTGAAATTGCAGTAAAAATTTTAAGGCTTCATTTCTCCAAGGGTATCAAAGTTTTTAATACTAAATATTTACTGAAGTTTATTTACTGATCAGTTATTGTGTTGCAATAATAAAAAATAATACTACCTTATACAGAGTGTCTAAAAATTTATTTTAAATAATTATTAGCTTCAAACGGCAATAACTTGTTTAATTTAAATGGAACACCCTGTATATTTTACGAGAATCAGATGCACAATTTAATTGTCTATCAAATTATATTATACCATTTTTTACCTATCTCTTTAAGTTTTCGTAGAAAATGCATTTTCTTGTAATTTAGAACTTATTTATCAATATACCCATGGATTATTAACATTTTAGATTATTTTTAAAGATGTACCAAATTTTTAAAGTGTACAGATACTAATATTGTCGATATAATTCGTTTATTTCATTGAAAAATAAAAAAAAAACTGTTTAAATATTTGTTAAAGAGGACCAATTAATATGATTCCAGTATTCAAACTACATTAACTGACTGTTTGCGTTGATTAATAATAATTGCTCCAAATACTAAAAAACTGAATTTTGTATGGGCATTAGACAGTGTGAAAAAAGTAACACCTTAAAAATCATATTTCATTTTTTAATAAATGCTTATTTATAACAACAAAGACTTTAATTTGATAACTTATTATATTGATTTCTGACTCAAAAATCCACATTTATTTATAATAATTTATTAACGAACACAATTAAGTATGTAATTACGTAATTAAGTACGTCATTAATTAGTATATGGGCGGAAATAATAGTGTTATATTTAATTAATGGTATACCCTTTTATAAAGATTTAAATAGTTGTCTTTTTGCATACAAATGGGCTAGTAATATTATCGTTTTGCTAAAAACGATAATATTACTAGTCTGTACATTTTGTACATTTGTTGCTTTAAAAACAATCTAAAATGTCAATATTCCATGGATATATTGATAAATGAGGTCTAAATTATAAGAAATTGCATTTTCTACGAAAATTTGAAGGGATAGGTAAAAAATAGTATAATACAATTTGATAGACAATTTAATTGTGCATCTGATTCTCCTAAAATATACAGGACATTCCATTTAAATTAAAGAAGTTATTGCCGTTTGAAGCTAATAATTATTTAAAATAAATTTTAAGGCACTCTGTATAAGGTAGTATTATTTTTATTATTGCAACACAATAACTGATCAATAAATAAACTTCATTAAATATTTAGTATTAAAAACATTGATACCCTTGGAGAAATAAAGCTTTAAAATTTTTACTGCAATTTCACAAAATTGCAAATATTTCAAAAACGGTAAGGTTTAAGTATAATAAACCTTAATCGAATTTACCTTTATTTTAATCGTAGAAACTAAAAATGTAATAATATACAGGGTGTTCTATTTAAAAAAATACAACTTTGATATTTTTTATTTATTTGGGAGACTCTGTATCTTGTAAAAATATTTTTAAATTGTAGCTCTAATAGTCCTTCAACGAACCCCAAACTTACAATTTGTAAAAATCTCATCGTTTAGCTACAATACTCCGTGTCGTATGTGGTGAACAACCCTGTAGATAATAAAAAATCGGTTAATGGGCAATACAAGAAAATTTATATTAACATTTAAAAAATAGGTATTTAAATCGAATTCTGGTTTCCTTGACTTGAGGGAAATTACATTGATTTAAGTCATTTTACTGATTAAACTTGCATATTATCATGATTTAAGTAGTCAAAGAAAAAAAGACTTAATTCAAATAAAATTAAATAACGTTATATTGATTTGTCTTTACAAAAATGACTTGACTTGAAAGAAAATGATTTAAGTCAAAGACTTAAGACTTAAGTCATTTGAACTTTGAATTGAAATTGACTAAAGACTTAATCATTTTGATTTTAGAAATTACTTAAGATTTAAGACTTTAGTCTTTTTAAAACTGACTTGTTGCAGCCCTGGTACTATATTTATGTTTTTAAACTGTTAGTTTCTCGGATACATAAGTATCTGAAAAACGCAATTCTAGTTTGATAATAAGCTTGTCTCGCCACACCATCCACATACTTGAAAAACTGTTTTAGACGATATTCTAAAATGTGGGTAAAGTTTGTATTAATATAGTTAATGAAACATTTCAAAGAAGAAAACTTATACCCTTGTTTATATATTCTTAAAGTTGGTCAACCTCTCGACAAAATGTGCTGCCTCTGGCGAACAAATCGCAAAGCTTTAAAAGAATGAGGCATGTGATTAGGGGCGGAGTCAAAAATATCGATTATTTGCGGTATTTCCCTCAGAGTAATGTAATAATATAGCTCGGATTTTTGCGAACTATAATAGGGCTCAGCTGATTAAGAAATTTAAACAAAACTATTATTTCATTGTTGATTTTCGATTATTTTTACTGTTATTTCAAGGATTCTAAACCGTATTTAACAAAGAAATAACAATTTTCAATATGTTGGTACATTAATGCTAATTACTGGTAATAATTTATATATAAAAAAAGTTACATACACTTACTTTATTTCGATTTGACCCAGGGCTATAAAATTTTATTTCATGCTTCGATCATTTTATCCTAAATTGAGGTTTTACGTTTTTAAGATAATTTTTTTTTGAAAACAAAACGTTTATACATTCTTGATTAATTTTTTTCTTAATGAAAAATAAAACTTGGCACTTGTTTCAATAATATTATTTGACATTTAAATAAATATTATGTACTTAATACACCATTTAAATCTTTATTACACGAAATAAATCTTTCTTAGCGTAAAACATGGTCAGAGTCAAGTGGGCTTTAACTTTGTACCATATGAAAAAAAAACGGCGTCCAGTTGGCAGGGAAATGACGATCGACGACATTTCCGACGGTCGACGACATTTCCCACATAAATTTACATATAAAATGACAGCGATCTTCATTTCATAGCCATCGCTGACGCCGTTTATTTTCGATCAAGAATTATAAAAACTGAAAATATCATTATGTTTTAACTCACAAAGCGCGTTAAACCATAAAACTTTCTAGTATATTGTTTTTATTAGGAGTAAAAATGACGCACTTTTCGTGGCGAGACTGTAGGTTTGACATACAGCCGAAGCACAAAAGTCATTTTTACTCGAATAAACATATACTATTTTTCAAACGCCACAAATAACGTTTTAAACAATTTCAAACGTTCCAAATAATATAAAAATATTTAAAACTCATACCTTGTAAGTAATTATCATAAAAAACAAGGTATGATATTGCGCAGGTTGGTCACCACGTCACAGGTGATAAACGGTAATATTGGTCGGCAAGCTCCACGCGCCAATTTCAAATTTTCAAACAGATGACACATAATAAATGTGTATAATGTGTCATAACTTTTCAAATGTCCAGCTCGATGATTTTACATAACTTTAGGGGTTGTGTAATTCTTCCCTATTTTAGGTCTTTTTTTATTAGTGGCAATTGAACAATACGGATATTTTGTTGTATGGCATATGACGTCACAGGCGATATGCGCAAACTGAACGAAATTGGAGACGCTATCGACCATACCTTGTTTTCAAGTTTTGTTTGTACCATGAATAATTATATATCGAGAAACTATGGTTACGGCTCGTTGAATTTGAGACTTATGTCATTTTAATAATATATTTTCATACTTTTATGCTTAGGCGTAAAGTGCTTTACTTTTATGCCTAGGCGTTAAAATGACTTTTTTATATTGTCAATCACGTCGCAAAAATTAATACTTTTGTGACGTTTGAAAAAAAAATAATATTTTGAAACTAACTGGTATATTTTTCTGCCACAACAAAGTTATTATACAGTGATAAATGATAAGATCATATTGAAATACGCTACTGGGTAAAAAAAATTGGCTAAATTTTATCAATAATACTCCATTTCAAAAGTTATTTTCCAAAATAATTAATATTTTTTAATAATTGATTGCAATTAATATTATTTGACTAGTTTAATTTGATTAATTAATAAGACTAGATTAATTTCATTTAAAATAAATTTGATCAGATTTTTTTCGTATATTCAACTACCAGAAAAGTAGAAGGAAGATTATAATGTATCTATCACAATATTTAAAAGAACTACTACAATAATTATTAGAAGAAAAACAAAAAGAAAAAAATACCCAAATACCTTCACCTTCTACTCAACTACAAAATAAATGAATATAATCTCTTACAAGAACACTACACAAACTACTTCTTGTATTCTACACTAAACAAATTATCAAACTTATTAATTAATCAAACATAAAGAAAAATTAACCAAATTACCCCTTCACCTACTACTTAACTTCAAAATAAAATATAAAAACACTACTAAATTTCTTCTGGTAGTCTACACTAAACATTATAATCAAACTTAATAAATTAATCTAATTTTACATTACAACTACAAAGAAACAAGAAAATATTTTAAAACTACAAGAAATAAAACTTCGATACGTGCGACCAGTATAATAGATCAAGCGGACAAAGAATATAAAATACTTTAAAATGTGCATTCAGAAAGAAAAAATATCTCGAAAATTATCTAAACAAACATTTTTTTTTCTTATCAGTGAAAAACATCGACCTCGTCGGCCTTGCGGAATTTGTCGGGTATTTACAATGGTCGAATTGTATAATTACCAGCTTTTATAGCATATCTAATAGACAAAAAGTATCTGGTCGATTAGTAACCAATTGGCACAGTCCGAAAATTATCGATTTTTATTTTCTCTGTTTTTATTGGCCGCTTCAAAATTCAGAGTAACAAAAAATATTTTTCTCTAGTAAAAGACTGTGAAATACGCCCCGCCATCTGGTGCTTTACATCCATAAACGTCTTAGGTTGAGCTACTTTAAAAATTCATATACAAGGCTTATACGATGCTTTTTCGAAAATGTTGGCTAAATAGTACTTTCGTATAAAACTTATAACTAAATTATATCTGGATACATATAGATACCTGAAATTGACTTAGGGTACTATCCAGTTGGTTGGTCAGGGTAGCAAAATGCATCTCTGGCGTTAGAGATTCTAATGTGACAAAATCGAAGTAATTTTCTGAAAAAATATAATTGAATGCTTAGCTTTATATTTTTTTATCTAAGAGCCTTGACCTAGCTAGATATTGTCAAGACTTAAATATAGGCCAAGACATCTTGGGTTTATACTACTACTACTGCCATTACTCGCTGACGAGTATTCGACACGCATCAAAAGATGGTTACGTAGGGCGTTTTCTGTCATGAGCTTTTCTGTGACTGAAAAGCCCGATACATGATATTATCTCTCCTCCGCACTCCGGACATTCAAAAATATCATTACTTTGTTGCCTCTTTACTTTTTGGTTGTCGTTATTAACTGAATTTACAATTCTCCTCCACTGCGTTCTATTGCGCGCTGCTTCCTCCCACTGATGCTGCATACTTATCCCCTTTAAGTTTTCATGAACAACATCCTTGTATCTTTTGAGTTGTCCACCCGGTTTCCTCTTACCCTCTAAAAGTTCACCGTAAAGAAGAGATTTCGCTAGGCGGTTTTCTTGCATCCTGCATACGTGGCCAGCCCATCTTAAGCGAGATTTAGTAATCATGACTTCAGCGCTCTCGCAGCATGCTTTTTTAAGGACTGATACGTTTGAGACATGGTGGTACCATTTGATTCTTAAAAGTTGTCTAAGGTGTCTCTGTTGCAACTTGTTTAATGCGCTCGTGTGCCGGCGGTACGGCACCCAGGTTTCGCTTCCATATAACATGGTGGGGATTATTACTGCTCGATACACTGCAAGTTTCGTTTTTGTGCTCAAATCATGATTGTAAAAAACCCTGTCTTTTAATTTCCAGAATGCTCTTGAGGCGCTGCTGATTCTGTGCTGAATTTCAGAGTCGACATTTGCCTTTTCCGAAATCAAACTGGCGAGGTAATTAAATTCCGATACATATTCCAATAGTTCTTCTCCGATTTTTACAGCGCTGTTATAATTTTCCGGGGGAGTGCACATGATTTTTGTTTTATCGATGTTCAGTTTAAGGCCCAAAGTCTCGTATGCCCAGGTATATGTGTTCAGCATTTCCTGTAATTGCTGTAACGTATTAGTAACTAGAGCGCAGTCATCAGCGTATTGGAGTTCTCTGATGAATTTTCTACGTGTTTTTGCCCTGAGTCTTTTTATGTTGAACAGACCGCCGCACAATGGATCGAAGCATAGGAAAATAGGAACATTGACTTATTTCGAAATTAATACTTTTATTTTACTGTTTTTTATGTACGACTTCAATAAATACAACAAAAATCTAAATTAATATGGTATTTTGTACCATATAGTTTACAAAATATACAGGGTGTCTCAAAAAAGAACTAATATCTAAAACAAAAAGAAACAAAAATATTATAACAAAAAAGAAATTGCTTTCTCTGTTAAATCTAAATTAATATGGCCCTTTGTATCAGATATTTTAAAAATATATAGGGTCAAAAAGAGCTCATCTATAAAAAAAAAAGAAAACAAAACATTATAACATATGAGAAATTACTTTTCTCTGTTAAATCTAAATTAATATGGTCTTTGTACCAAATAGTTAACAAAATATACAGGGTGACTCACAAAAGAACTAATCTCTAAATAAAAAAGAAAACAAAAATATTATAGCAAAAGAGATATTGCTTTCTCTGTTAAATCGCTACGAATTTTATCACAGCTACGCATATCAGTTATATATGGATCGGAAGACAACAAAAGATTATGTAATTTGCAAAAGTTCTGTTAGACCTTCTTGAACGGCATTCTCTATATTTTCGAAAATATTTATTCCTAGACTCTGAGGCCTCTTCAGACAGATGCCCTATCGGAAACCAAAAATTGCTGATGATTTTTGCTCCGTGTATCAAAATTTTGTGTAGAGAAGATGGCATGTAATACCATCCATGAAGGTTAACTCTTCTGCAGTCTCTTTTACAAATTTATTAAACTTTTCGGCATTTATTTTTTTTTTCCTGAAACCATAACTTGGAGTAATGTATATAGTCTTTCCAGCAATCAATTCATCGATTCCTGTAATTTGTTATGACTTTTCGAAGTTTCGGAAAAATCTTCTCGCAGTGTTTCCATCGATAGTTGTGCCCCATCCCTGTTTAACGACATCGACTATCAAACCCATTTCCTCCCTAAATCTAAAATAAAATTGCAAATATATTCTGCAAAGCAACGCGTGATGCGCGTCCACGGCAAACTCGACAAATTGCCGAATACCAATTCAATTGCCGAATACCGAATACCAAAACGAAAACATTTCTGGGCCTTTCAACCTATATGCCTTATGTATTGTAGTGTAATTCAGTCCCACTCCAATATTCTTCGACGAATATACTTACCTATATCGGCAAATTACAAATTGTTTGATGGTGCACTGTGCGTGCATTGCATAAATTCAAGGATTTTGACATTAAAAATATTCTATTTTTTGCAGTGGCACTTTGGGGCAGCCAATTTTTTTATGGTATGTGCTAGTAAAGGTGGCTCTTTACATTGCACGTAATATCTCCACTTACATCCGCTTACATTTTTTTGTAATTCAAGAAAACTTTCTATTTTTAAGTCTTAATGACATAAATAAAAAACAAATGAGTTTTTCACTTCTGGTGTGACTTTTTTTTAAATTTAACAATCCAATACTATAGCCCAAGAACGCTTCTAATAAGTCGTTATATATAACAAACGAATATCTTTTACATCCATTTTAAAATTACAATCAAATGTAAGACTCTTTATCTACCAATTTGAATGATTTTTCAATTTACTTCAAATGGTGCTCATATGCTCAATAAGTAAATAACAAACAGACATATTGTATATGTTTTACAAGACTAGAATATCTCTTTAACACAAATATGTAAAAAAATATTTAAATTTGGAACTCTTCAAAAACAGCCAATGTCCCTATCTTCCTATGCTTCGATCCATTGTGCGTCGCGCCGCGCCGTCATACCTGTATCTAACACCCATTCTTCTTTCCTGCAGTTTGCTGTCCACTATAATAGAGAGCGCTGCCATGAATATGTTGAATAGGAGACGAGCTAGGACATATCCCTGCCTAACTCCTGTATTTGTCAGGAAGGGATCGCTCAGTCATCCATGATGTGACATTCTCGACTTGTTGTTGTTATGGAGGCTTTTACACACTCTAAGAAATTTGTCGGGCACTCCGAACTTTTGCGTAATTGCCCAAAGTGCATCTCTGTTTACAGAGTCGAAAGCTTTCGTTAGGTCGATGAATGCAACATAAAGTTTACTCTGCTGTTCCTTTACTTTTTCCTGGAGTTGGCGGACGGAGAATATGGAATCAACGATACCGCGGTTGGTGCGAAAGCCCGTTTGCGATTCTGCGAGGATTTTTTCTATATGTGAGTGAAGGCGGTTTGGCATAATTTTTGCAAGAACTTTACCTCCGATAACCAGTAGTGAAATTCCTCGGTAGTTTCTGCAATCTGATGCACTTCCTTTGTTCTTAAATATATTTACTATATTCGCGTTGCGAAAGTCCTGAGGTACCTCTCCGCTTTCCCATATGACATCGAAGAGAGCCTTAAGATGACCAATAAGTTCTTTGCTTGCACACTTATAGATTTCCGCTGGAATCGCGTCACAGCCAGCCGATTTGTTGTTTTTAAGTTATTTTATGGAGGTCTTTATTTCCTGTTCCGTTATTGGGATATCTAATACATCAATGCTGTTATACTGAGGTATTGTGTTTAGTGCTTGCATATTGGGGATATTGTCTTGGTTAAGGATATGGCTGTAATGCTCTTTCCAGCGATTTCTGATTTGCTCTTCCTCTTTTAGTAGTTCACCGTTTTGTGCCTTGATTGAGCAGCTTACGTTCTTAGTTGGGCCGTATACTTCTTTTACAGCCTCGAAGAATTTATGATAGTCCTGATACGCGGCGTACTCTTCAATCTGATTTGCTTTTTGTGACCACCAGTTATTCTTTAGTTGGCGCAGATTTCTTCGAAGCGTGTTGTTGGCTGCTTTAAAGTTGTCCACCAGCCTTGGATTGTGTGGATTTGCAGTGACTGCTTGATGTGCTCTATGCTTTTGTTCCAACAAAGCCTGTATATGTGGTTGATTTTCGTTAAACCAGTCTGGTTGTTTATTTTTGTTGGATTTTCCCAGTATTTCTTCGCTGGTATTATAAATCGCATCCCTCAATTGTGTCCAGCCTTGTTCAGCTTCGGAGATTGAGGTTATAGGTGGAAGTGCTTCTCTGATGGCTTCCCAGAGGACGTTGGCGGTGACGTTGTTCGTTAGACTCCGTACGTTTAATCTGGTCATGTTGTTTTGCTTTTTGCAGTGTGGATGTTTGGGTTTTAATTGAAGTTTCATTTTCGAAACGACAAGTCGGTGGTCAGTACCACATTCGGCATCTATTCTGTCTTTTGTACATCTGACATCTTTCAGATGCTTCCTTCGAACGATGACGTGGTCTAATTGATGCCAGTGGCCTGATCTGGGATGTTTCCAGGTACCTTTAAACTTGTCTTTTAGCTTGAACCATGTATTGGTGATGCAAAGGTTGTACTCTGTGCATGTTGTTAGCAAGCGTTCACCATTGCTATTTACGTTTCCCATTCCATGTTTTCCCAATACGTCTGGCCATATTTCTTGCTGATTGCCGACACGTGCATTAAAGTCACCTAGCAAGATGATTCGCTCCTGCTTTGGAATTCGTTGGAGAGCATTTTGTAGATCTTGGAAAAATTTATCCTTATCCTCAACCTTAGCGGCTAGGGTGGGAGCGTAGGCACTAATGATATTGACACAAGTTTTATCTGATATGTGGTACCTTAGGGTCATGGGACGTTCGGAGACTCCAATGGGCACTTCTGTTAAACTGGTGGCGATTTCGTTTTTGACAGTAATGCCTACGCCATGAATTCTACTGTGTGTGGCAGGGTGACCCTTCCAAAAGAAGGTGTAATGCTTCTCAGTCAGACTAGAACATCTATACTTAGCCGGTGGAGTTCCTGTGAGACCAGAGCAGTTCTTTCTGGTCGATTAGAGTTTGTCCTGTCCAGAAGAGTGCGGAGGTTCCACGCCGCAAACGTGAAACATTGACGCTGCTTAATTCTCCGATGTAGGCACCCCCTCCCGGAGATCCGATCGAGGGGGTATTTTACCTCCGGACGATGATTTTGTCCCACTCGAATGTTCCATCTTTGATGAGTGTTAGCTGCGTAAAAGGATTAATCTGTGACGGTTACGCTGCCGCACAGTTTGGCTGCAACTGTAGCACGACTATGGCACAGTGAGGACTGAGACGATAGTTTCCTTGTGCTACGTTCTCGGCCGGGTAGAAGTAGTCTACTTCTCCTCTTCCCCAGAACGGTGGTAGGTCTGAGGGTTGTATAGCGTTATACCGCCTATACTCGGACGTCAGAGCCTCGTTTGTGAAAACAGGGTGCACCACATGAAAGTGAGGTTGACTTTTGGGTAAGTTGGCTATATATAGCGCTTCAATACCCCTTACACCCCAAAATAAAAAAAGGGTTTATATCAATTTGGTAAAAATCATATTTTATGATGTAAAAAAAGTGAAGTTCAAAGAAAGTTTGTTGAAAAAAAAGTGTCGAAAAAAAAGTGGTGATTTTATTAAATATACTTGGACTATTAATGCAAAAATCATAATGATAATGTTCTTACCTAACAGAAACACAAATTTATATACATATTCTAGGTTATTAGAGGCTATGCACATTTCGTCGCATATTCTGAACGGTCCCAATCTGTCAAAATAGCCAGTTTCCATGAGACCTTGATACGTTATGTCGGCGTACAGTAACGCTGCCGAGCATATACAATCCAACAGCTGGGATAGTAAACAAACTGAGTGAGCTTTAGGCCATTGGAGCAATCTCCAAAAGTCTCTAAGCTGACAAAACATTGCTACGACGTCAACAGCTGAAGAACTGTGCTTGACCAACTTATCACCTTCGCAGGGTTTTTGTAAATCGACCGCAGTACGAACCTGAAAAAAATAAAATATTTTATTGTAAATTAAAACTATTATCTCAAATTTATTTTAAATTTTATAATTTGTAAAATAATTTTTTGACTATTTTTAATAAATTAAACAAAACGCCTGTAACTTTGACGTTTAATTTTATATTGTGCGTCATTTTGATTTTAGTAAATAATGAATTTTGAATTGCCCTTGTAAGATTGAATCCCTTGAGGATATTGGGATGGATCCCTGTAATTGCATTATTGTTAACAATAACGAGTTGTATATGGCTAATGATCCTGGTGATCGATGCCTAGGAAAAAAAAAGTAAATATTGAACGACCAAAAAAAAACAACCAAATTTAGCATCCATCCCCAAAATAGTTGTACAAATTTAATTAAGCCTTAATACTGCCCTATCCAGCATTTGATAAAATATTTTTTTGTGAAAGTGTTTTGAAGTTGACAGTTTTTGATATTTATTTGAGATTCGAAATGACATTCTTTTAGGCACTAATATCAGGGGCGGGAAAGTGAAATAGCAAAAGCGGTTCCACCGTTTCCACGGAAATTTCAAATAAAATAGTTCCAGCCTCGGGCGCTAGGTGGTAGTGCAATAATGAATTTTTAGGTTGCTACTAGTTATTGCCAGATGGCGTTAAGTCAGAATTTTTTTGTAGTTTCCATAGTTTCCAACGGCCATTGTCATACTATTGTCAAATTCTCAAAAAATATTGTCGTTGTCATAGCGCCAATCATAATATTATCAAATGCACAAAACATCCCCCTTTAGAACTTTTTCTTTAATGGCCATAAGTGGGAGTAAAAGATCAACCGCCCGAACAAACACTAGAGGCGCCACCGGTCATCAAATGGTGTAAAAATTGCGAAAATTTAATCATCTAATTTTGACACAAGGGGTCGTGCTTAACTTTTTCAATTTTAATTCAATATTCATTGTTTTCAAACTATATTATTAGACTTTGTTGTATTTTGTGAATGTATAAATGTTTTCTTAGTATAAAGTTGCATTATAGTAATTTAAATTATATTACATACATATTTAAGATTCAAATATTATGACATATATGTCAGTTGCCGTCTAAAATGTCATCTTGATAACAAAAAGTTAGTTATTGTCAAAAGTAAAAAAATCATGTTAAAATATTAAAATTTACAAGTTATAATTAGATATTTTATATTATTTCAACAACAAACACATAATAGTACAGCGTAATGTTGATATGCAGGTCCAAAACAAAAAGTGTCGTTATATTTTTCAGTTTTCGTTGTCAGCCGCGGAAATTTCAGTGATTTTAGTGCTGTCGGATATTTTTATTTGTGAAATAGAAATATTGCGTTTGGATTGCAAAACTAAAAGTGGAAGTTTTAATGCAATGTAAGTAAACGTTTGTCCATTTTATATTTTACTTTTTTCATACCTACGACAAATATACATACATATATTGAAATTTTATAATTCATTTTATTTAAAAAATGTTAGAAAACAGCTTGTAATCCTGTAATTGACATAATTGTTATGTAATATATTCCATTTAAATGTAATATATTACTTAACAATTAAAAAAATGTACATTTAAAAATATATTAAAAATATATACAGGCATTAATTGAAATTTTTTGAGTGCGAACAAACACGAGAGGCGCTTTATTATTTACTTTCATTTCTTAACATGACAGACGAAGTTCTAAAGGGGGATGTTTTGTGATCAAATGTTTATCAAAACATTTTTCAAACTATAATTTGTTATATGTGCTTTAATTAAACAATTCCTTTTGTTTGCGGCCCTAAAAATATAATGTAAGTCTTTTATTTTTGTCATCATTTAAGTACCTATTTATATTTATTCCATTTACAAAACTTTGGGCGTATTACGTTGGTCTTGTTTTATTATAATAAACGATGTTTAAATATTTGATTTATAAATAAAAACTTTAAATAATAAATAATATTTACACATGTTTGGCTTTAATTTTATTTAATAACTGTATAAATTATACTGTTAAATCTTATTTTTTACACATCACAACGATACTTGTTATTAGCATTGTTGAATTTGTGTAAAAAATAAGATTTAATAATCAAATTTAATTATCTATTTTAGAGTAAAATTCAATAAATATGCTCATTTAAAAAACCCGCGCTTCGATCCATTTAAAACAAGCCCTACTCAATAGATGGCGCCACTTCTGTAGGACCATTTTTCAGTATGGCAGAGTCCATTCTTTTTCTAGCTAGGTATATTCTTTGACTAATATCTAAAAGTGACACTTGTTTAGGCACTAGTGCCTAAAAGTAAAAAATGAAACGTTAGAAACAATGAAAATATTTATTTATTATAAATCTTAAAAAGGTACCATTATTTAAATTATTAATGTGAATATAAGAGGCATCCAACTTTTCGTCTCTAAGAGGAATGCAACTGGCAATGCTGGTAGCTTTTGCTTCTACGTGAACTATGCTTATTTGGCGTATCTTTCTGTCCCATGATTCTTTTTGCTATTTCGGTTTCCTCTTAAATTGAATTTTCAATCTAACCTTCAACAACCGAGCTTGATCGCCAACCTCCATGTCGCTTTAAAACTGTTATGTAATATAATAATATAATAGCTCCAGTATATATAGCGTTTGACGCCTTGGGAGTAGCAAGGTACAGCTTGGCATGCTAGAGCCGTCCGGTATACAAGGAAGGTAATGTGGCTAGCACTACGCTTCAACCGCCTATTATTACCTCAGGATTGTGAATCCCAAGTACTCATTTAAGGCTGAGTCGACCTAGTTACCCAAACTATTTTTATTTTAATAAAAACAGTCGGCTGATGAAATGCCGGGTGTAGGATTCGAACCCACTACCTTGAGATTGGTAGACGAGAGCCTGTACCTCTACGAGTACCTCTCTTCGAAAACTGTTATGTCGGCTCCTGAATCTGCCAGCATTGTTGCAGAGCTGCGCCGGAAACAATGACCAGTGTATTTAATGGCAATGGAGAGTCCAAGAAATTATCTATATATCTTTTTTGGCATACCCCCGATTGGTATTGATTCCAGCTGGCAGGGTACAGCATTGATTTTCAAGATGAGAAAAATCGCTGATGTGTCACATTGAGTGGTCGAAGTTTTGCGTACTTACGAAATACATGTAAGAAATTGATACCATCTATTGGTCCCTCAGTAATCGTAAACGCTCTTGGAAAATGAGTTTTTGTATTCGGAATCTTCACACTAATAAATGATTGACAATCTTTAATGGCATCTATGGTCAAAAACGTGATTTCTTCCCTCCTACATGCTCCAAATACTCCCACGATCAAGACAATTTTAACTGACAGGAATTCTTTGTCATCGGCTTCTTTCATAAAGCGTTCTATTTCCAGTTTTGTAAATACTTTTGATTTCTTTGCCTGATATCCGGAAGCTTTTCTTTTTAAAAATGCAATAAGGTTTGTGAATTTGCTAATATCTACGTTTCTGTTCAGGTAAATCATGGTGCGGAGCATCGAATATTTACTCCCCAGAGTTGACGGCTTCAAGGTAGTGGATAACTTCAGGAAATAGGCTAGCAATACCTTTTCTGTGAAATTCTCAACATGTTTTTCTTTGACCCAGGTTTCAAAGTTGTAGGTGGTCTCGTATAAGTTTTTCGACTTCTCGGGCACTAACGCGGATAGCGCAGTTTTAACAGCTTGTTGAATATCTAATGACTCGTCATTATCACTCATTTTTTCACAAAACTTTGTAGGAGATACGGCAACGTTTGAACCTGACAGAACTTTGTCATTAAACAACCGATTACCAGAACATTTTAAAAAATGTTTAAAAATAAATAATAATAATAGCATGAAAATCTCAAATTATTCGCTTTCACAAAAAATCTTGTATGAAATTTGTTGCGAAAAGACTGTTTTAACCACTCGACGTATTGTCCAACTCGGCTTTCGCCTCGTTGGACAATTTTGCGTCCCGTGCTTAGAACACATTCATTTCGCAACTTTTTACATAAATAGCTATTATTAGCTTGGTGATAAGATACTGAAACCACAACACTAGGTTCTTAAAACAGAACAAATTTTTAACATAATCTGGTACCTTGAGAGACGTACTGGCCAATGTCACGTATCACTGATTGGTTTATAATTACGGGGCAATCTGTTTAATCTAGTAACATTATCTTATACTATTTTACCCTTTGTAAAGCTTTTCCTTTGCACACACTCAGCCAATGACTCACTGATGGTTCAAACCACTCGTGACACCTGACTAAGAGTAGTTTGTGATCACCTCCAGATGGTAAATTGTGACTAAATGTTGAGAGGTCTTTCACTTCCATATAGATGGAGAATATCAATCTGCTGTAGGATGAGTCGATGTGCTCGTTTTGGTTGAGGAAGTTTATCACTTCGTCGGCCATGAGTTTGTCAATTTGTTTGTAGACTACACTAAAATATGGGATTCCGTTGGTTCTGTAATAAAAATTTACCTTTTTAGAAGCACACAAACCTTATAAAAATTTCTTCTGAAGTACGTTATACAGGGTGTCCCAGGCTGAGTGTGAATTAGAAGTTTCTAGAGACACTCTTTGCACATTCACAAGGAGATTTATCGATTTTTATTATTTTAAATAGGTAGCTCCATTTCTTGTTACATACTTAAATTCTCTGTAAAATTTTATGAATTGTGATATCAAACACTCTAAAAATAACATTAACCGTTTTTGAGAAAAAAATATTTAATATTTTTGGAGAAAAAAAAACTGCCTGTCAAAAAAATCTGTATAGCCTAAACAACAAATTTAGTGATTACCACAGCCACTGTGGCATAAAAAAAGACTTGCCGATATCTATTTCAAAAATTAAATTGTTCGAATGTCATATAATATTGGCCGTAGCTGTCATGGAATTGAAAAATTAAAAAATTATCAAACATTTTTTTTTTCATATGGAAACCCACTTTTTTATTTCACTAGTGAAAAGGTTTTTCAATTCATTACTTTTTGATTATATATATTCCTTTACCTAAAACAAATTGTTTTTAAGTTAGTCAAGATTTAGTTTTAAAAGACTTTAAACGTCACGCGATTTAAAACTATATCGGGCCATGTCATATCACCATTAGCTTTCACTAAAACACGAGATACATTTTTATAAATACACTTTATAAAGCTTTACCAGGCAATATTTATAGTATAGGAAATTCAAATAATTAGTTTTTTGACAGAAGGGAATAAAGTGTCTGATGGTTTGGCACTTAATGTCAAAGGAATTAAGCTAGATAAAACCCAGAAAAAAATACGCTTTAAAACTAAATCTTAAATAACTTAAAAACGATTCATTTTAGGTATAGGAACATGTATAATCAAAAAGAAATGAATTGAAAAACCTCTCACTAGTGAAATAAACAAGTGGGTTTCCATTAAAAAAATTATTTTTGATAATTTTTTAATTGCTCAATTCCATGACAGCTACGGTCAATATTATATGAGATTCGAACAATTTAATTTTTGAAATAGATAGTCACATATCTTCTCTTAATGCTACAGTGGCTGTGGTAATAACTAAATTTGTCGTTTAGGCGATACCGATTTTTTGACAGGCAGTTTCAAAAAAGGCAGTTTCTTTCCCCCAAAAATTTTAAATAATTTTTTTTTCTCAAAAACGGTTAATGTTAAGTATAGAGTGTTTGATATCAAAATTGGAAGTGCCACCATATTTAAAATATTTTTCGATAGATCTCGTGAAATAGTAATGTGCAGAAAATCTCCGATCTAGATATTGTAGTTCTCTAGAAACTTCTAATGTACGCTCAGCCTGGGACACCCTGTATATTAGATCCATTTTTAATTTACTAATATCAATAAAATGATTTTTACCAAAAATTGGTTTAGCAATGCAAGATTTAGCATCACTACAATTTTTAGGTGAAGTTACGGAACCTTACTAATGCTGCTTATTCAATGCAGTTATGATAATATAAAATAATATTTTAATCAATATTATTGTTAAACTACAGTTCATTGGAATAAAAATATAAGTTAGGAATTATTACCCTTCAAATAACGGATGGTAATGGTGTAGTCCATGTCTCAGTTGAACGTAGACTTCTGAACAAAAGTCTACCAATGTCCCATCATATTCTTCTGACGTCATAAATGAATTTTTGACCGAACTAAACCACTCAGGGGTCCCTTTCCTCAAAGTGGCAACTATTTCACCACGTATCTCTTTGTTGAATGGACAACATTTCCAAAAGGATTTCTGAAACAAGATAGAAAGAGTTTTGTTAAGAAAGGGAGTAACAAGTATTGGTGGTTTAGGGATATTAAATTTTAAAAACCACAGTTTTTTTATTATTTTTTCGGTCGTACTCGCTGGTCGTTCTATTTAAATAAATCAGTATTTATATTTAAATAAACAAACCGTACAGGCTGGGGATCGAACCCAGTACCTCTCGCTGCGCAGATCGACACATTACCGCTGGAGCTAGGGCCGGCCACATTTCTTACTTACTCTAAATTTAATCTACTACCTATGTAGCTATATTATCGAGATATATTTTTGTAACAAAAAAATTTAAAAAATCCAGAAAAAGCTTCGAAAAATTTTTCAAAAACAAAATTTTAAATTTGTTTTCTAATAAAACCTTAAAGACTTGTTTTTCTGGGATATAAATATACCATCCTTAAAATATCTGGTTCTATTTAAAACTCACCCTGTAAATTTTATGTAATAAAAAGTTTGTTGCAATATACGCGTCTTCGATTTAAGAAATGTTTTTAAGCTATGTAACCTGCACGTAAAACGATAGATGTGTACTGTACTTGGTACTGAGCGACCGTCATTAAGCTCAGTTACCGTGTAATAAAAAAAACAGTATCTACTTGGGTTTGAAATAACGATCGATGACATTTATACATATAAAATGACAGCTATCTTCATTTCATAGCCATCGCTGACACCGTTTTTTTCGATCGTGTTGTATTAATACACATTATACATATTATTCTCTATTAAATTTTTCTTCTACCTTCTAATACTGAAATGAAATGAAGTCATGATATTTGGCTCAATAATATTCGGAGAACCGCACATACATTCATTTTGACTTTATTTGTAAAATGTGGGTGATTCCTTTCTTCCCTCACATGGATGCCGTTTTTTCTATTTAATTTTTTTTAATTTGCTGCTGCTGCCAAATTTCTTAAATATACCAAAAACATGTGAAACTACTGTATAACCGAGTGTATAACATTTTAGAATTTTTGTCACAATACATATGTTCATGATCTACACCTTTTTGTACTAATGCGTCTATAATAAAAGTATATTGTTTTATTAGGAGTAAAAATAATACTTTTTGTGGCAAGGCTATACATTTGACATTGCAGGCGAGGTACAAAAAGGCATTTTTACTCCGAATAGAACATGCTAATTTTTTTTTCAATCGCTAAAATAATTTTTTAAACAACTTCAAGCGTTACCAATAATATAAAAATATTTAAATGTAATACTTTGTAAGTAATTATATGTCGGGAAACTATGGTTACACTCGTCGAATTTGACATTTTATGTCAGTTTAATACATATTTTTGTAGTTTTATGATCTTATGCAGTGGCGGGAAAGTGAAATAGCAAAAACGGTTTTCCACGGAAATTTCAAATAAAATAGTTCCAGCCCCGGTCGCTAGGTGGTAGTCCAATTAATTTTTAGGTTAGAAAGTTGCTACTAGCTATTGCCAGATAGCGTTAAATTAGATTTTTTTGTAGGTTCCATAGTTACCAACGGCCATTTTCATACTATTGTCAAATTCTCAAAAAATATTGTCGTTATCATAACGCCATTCATATTATCAAATGATTATCAAAATTATTTTCAAAGTATAATTTTTATTATAAATATGTGTTTTAATTAGACAATTCTTTTTGTTTGTGACCCTAAAAAAATGTTTATTTTTCCATTTTTTGTTTTTCCATCATTTAAGTACCTATTTATATTTACTCCATTTACAAAATTTTCAGCGTATTACGTTGGTCTTGTTTTATTATAATAAACGATGTTTATATATTTGACTTCTATTTTTTGTATGTATAAATTTTACTATTACATTTAATTTTTTACATAACACATAGTAAAGCTTTGTATTAGATTTGTTAATATTGTGTAAATTAGATGGCGCCACAAAAGTAAGACAATTTTTTAGTAAGGCACTTTCTTTTTCTTGGTAAATTCTTTGGTTTTATGCTTAGGCGTTATGGCGTAAAAGTGCTTTATTTTTATGCATTGGCGTTAAAATAACTTTTTTATATTATCAATCACGTCGCAAAAATTAATACTTTTGTGATGTATGAAAAAATAAAATAAAATTAACGAATTATCTATGATATTATTAATTTATAAGGTTTTATTTTCCAAAAACATCATATAACATAATGTTTACATTAATGGCCATATTTTATTGATATTTCATACTATCCAAAAAAGGCGCTACAGTGGTTTACGTAATGATAACCAAAATTAACACTCTTAACAACTTGCAAAAGGTTAAGAATTACATTTTTTTTAATTTTTATTAAACCACTTATAGAGGTTCATAAGGTCCACAAGTCATTCAAAAATTAGGCAAACTTTCTTGTTAATATTAACTTAGCTATCGTACTAAGCATCGCAATTTCTCATACTTTAAAACATATTAAACATGTGCTTATGCTGGCGCAACAAAGTCTTGTAGAACAATTTGTTAGGACTTGCATTTCTAGGCCAGATAGAATGGGAGAGTTGGGGTGTTTAAATACAAAGTTGGCGTCTTTAGACGGAGTTTTCGGAAGTTAGCGGAGACATGGACTAATATTTCGTAACTTCTGACCCCAATCCTCTTAGTAGTTTTACACTGCAAGCTAGGCTACAAGTACACCAATCGATAATAAAGCTTAGAAAACTTTAGAAGTTTTTTATTTTTAAATGGAATACTACAGTCCCTGGATTGTCTTTACAAGAGGAAAAACTAATTATTATTGACATTTTGAGAAAAATGCATTCTTCATAAAAAAACTTGCTTGTTCTAAAATGGTTAATCCCGTTTATATTTTACAAATTTCCATACCCTTTTAGAGAAAATTAAAAAAAAAACATGAAAATGTGGCTGAATTTTGAATGAATTTTTTTCTAAAAATCAAAACGGGTTTCTATATTAATATAATTTCGACTTCATTCTTTGATAGATTATTATTGATAAACTTTTAATTAACGTCATATTTTTTTCTGTTTTAAAATGTCAAAATTAACCGTCTATCAAAAAATGAAATTGAAATTATATTACCATATAGTCTGTCCAACGAGAAGATCCTTGACAGTGATAGATGTGTCTGTCATTTTAATTTCAAAGTAGTTTATTTTATTTTACAAAGAAATAAGTTGGTACAACTGGAACGCATAGCAGGATATATTTAAAATTTGATTGACAAGATGACATGTGGTTACTTCAAAATATTGTGAAAAAAACTGTATAAAACTGAAAAAATGTAATCGAGTTATTTTCTTGTTATTTTATTTAATAAAAACGGTATGTGTATGTATCAAAACAAACAAGAACAAGACACTACATACCAAAAAAATATAAAAAAGAACTATTATTTACTTTCAAGCTTTATGAAACTACCCGCATTTATGATTATATTTATCAATATAACTTATGTACAAATACAAATTTGTAATATTCCACAGGAATAAATAAAACAACATAGGTAAATAAAACAAACTATTTTATTAATAATAACACCTACCAAATTGTATACCTTAAAGGTTGATTAATTAATTTTAATCTTAATTTTTTTAAACCAGTACCTTTTGACATTATTTTTCTGCAGTACTAAAATCCATTATTTACCTATCGTGTGATGTCGATATATTACAGCTACTCCAGTTTTTAGTATGTGTTTAGTTTGATCCTTCTACCATATACAAGATGCACTTGTCTACGACGAAATGGTACACAAACTTTATCGATGGCAACTTCATTGGTGTAAGACTTTCTGCCTGGGTCTACAGTTAATTTTCACTCGATTTTTCCTCCACTTGACTTCAAAATACACAAAACACACGTAATAATACGAATCAAAATGCATCATCTTCCAAAACGCAGGGTATTTAACAAAAGTTGACACAAAATTATAACCTATAATTTGGCAAGACTTTGACAAGCGTCAAAAATGACAAAAATCTAAAGGCGAGTTCATACGCATCGGCGTCCGTTTGTCGTTCATCGTTCCGTCAAACCAATAAAATTGAAATACGATCTATCATTTTTTAAATAAACCAATAAAACTGGTTAAAAACAACAAGACACGACGCATGACGGATTTATATTTAAACCCATCCATAGATAACTTAAAAATTATTAGAAATTTTTTTTAGTAAAATAAATAGATTGGTATGGGACGTCATCTGCTTTTCTTCTGTCATCGTCTGTCGAAATCTTACCTGAGAAAAAAAACAGAGTATAGAAACCCCTTTTAATTTTTAGGACTTCAAATTCAACTAAATTTTTATGTTTTATTTAAACGGTCTCGTAAATGGTATGGAAATTTGGAAAAGTATAAACGATTAACCATTTTAGAATAAGCAAAACTTTTTATAAAGAATTAATTTTTCTCAAAATGTCAATAATAAATAAAAAGTGTTTCCTCTTATAAAGACAATCCGGGGACAAACTGTACACATTTTTTTTTATCTCAGTGGAATTTACTATTAAATTTCCATTTCAAAAATTCCATATGGTCACATACTATACGGAGTGGTTTTTGAAATTTAACCGTTTTTTTTTTGCTAAATTAACTGCTTATACAAAAAAAGAAATTCTGGATGTTGTATGAAAAAAGGGAGTAAGTTGAATGTTTTATTATTATTAGAAGAAGAAAATGCTAATGCTCTCCTATCGAAAAGTATGTGCTCAAACGGATGTTTCTCAGAGTAGTGTTAATAGAATTATAAAAACACAAATTTCATCCATACCAATTAGAACTACATCAAGATCTAAATGAATTTATCAATAGCCTCATTCATCAAAATCTTATTTTTCGAATAATCTACCTTTAAAAGTAATGGATTAGTAAATAAACGTAATATTCTTTATAATGTGACAGACAGCCCACACTGTAGTAGATAGGTTTGACACTTTTAATGATAAACGAAAATAACCCAATTTTCTCCTTATAGTTATTAACGTAATAAGGCCGATAAACAACAAATAACGGCCGGGCTG